ATATTATAAGCTCCAGGCCCAAAGCTCAAATCACCCAGATTCCTAACTAGTATTACGGTTTCATTCAAAAGCATTCCTGTCCTAATTATACACCAGGCGTGGTTAGACCCTCTCTGTGCAGTCCACGGTGAGGCATAATCTGATTCCTGTGTAATGGAATCACAGGACATTCAAACAGGAAGCAGCTTCTGATTTCCCACTTTGTCCTCACCCCTAATTCACCAGGAGAACGAGAGGATAAAGAAGCAGCAAACCCGCCAATGCCGACTGCTAGTTTTCCATTAATTCTGTCTTAGTTCTTTATCATAATGCATTGCTAATTTTGGGGGCATGCCACTGTTCTCATTTGTAAAGTGAGAACCTTAGAATAAAAGATTCCTATAATGCTTTCTTTCTCTAAATTTCTTTTTTTTTCCTTTTTTTTAAAACAAATTACTTTATTTATTTGAAAGACAGTTACAGAGAGAGGTCTTCCATCCAGTGGTTTACTCCCCAGATGGACATATTGGCTGGAGCGATCCAAAGCCAGGAGCCAGGAGCTTCTTCTGGGTCTCCCACATGGGTGCAGGGGCCCAAGGACTAGGGCCATCCTCCACTGCTCTCTCAGGCCACAGCAGAGAGCCGGATCAGAAGAGGAGCAGCTGGGACTAAATTTCTAAGTGGTGATTCAATTTCTGTTTTTGGGCTTTGAACATTTTGTGACAGTGGAGTTGCAGCTATGTTAACATGGTGGTAAAATATCAACTAAATGTTTAAAATGACTGTGTGTTGATATCTGAAAAGCTGAAATGGAATGACACTTGGAACAACCAAACACAGTCATAAAGGAATACATGCCTGAAACATGAAGTAAGATTAATGAGGTTGAAGGACAGTAATGGTCACACTAAGATAGGAAATATCAGGGAACATTTGAGAACTTTTGAGATTGATAAGAATATCCCAGGAGAAGCCCATTGTTTTCCTCCGAGTGGTCAGACCATACTTGACAAATGAAGGTTGCATGACTGAGACTACGCTATGTCCCAGCAGAGGGCCTCTGTACTAGTTTCCCACCACAGTGGAACATGGGAGCACACACTGAGTGATTGAGAACAACCATCATGTATCATCTCACAGTATCTGTGGAGGGGAGTCCAGGCACAGCATAGTTGGTTCCTCTGCTCTATGCCTCACAAAGTGCCATAAAGACATGATCCAGGTTGCATTCTCATCTGAAGGCTCAACTGGAGACAAAACCACTCCAGAGCTCTACATCTCGTCACCTTTCCTCTATTCTATTGGACAGAAACAATCCATAGGTCCTGCCCACACTCAAGAAGGGGGAACAGCACAGAAGCGTGAATATCAGGTGATAGACTGGGAGAATGACCTTGAAATCTGCCTACCACCATCCCCAAGCAGGTCCATGTTAAACATGCAGGATTTGCCTTTTTGCACCCCGGTGGACTCTAGAAGTGACTTGGAGCGAGCCACCTCATCTCTTTCCATGGCTTTTATCCATTCCAGAAAGTCTCCAAGACAGCTGACCATCTTCACGTTGAATCATTTGTTTTGAGATGGAGAGCTATCTTGACAACTAAACAACAAACTGATGCTGAGTCTAATGAGGACAGTGTCATCAAAATTTCCCTTGCTTTACGTCCTTAGAACGCATACGTCTTTTCTCTGCTTTTGTTTCAACATCTCCCAAAAAATGAAGACTCGCTGGGGTCTCTCACAGATGGTTCGAGCTGTTGAGTTAGTGTACTATTGCCACCTAGTAGTAAGGCAGCATTAGTCCAGAGGGACCAGGTAAGAACTTAGCACTGCTCTTGCTTGATAGGATTTGGCTAATGGAGCGATGCAAAAATTTACTTGGAGAAGAAAAGTTGATCAAATGCCAGCTAGAAGTTCAGTTTCATAAACAAACCCCAGGAAAAAATATAACCAAGTCCCAGCTTCCAATTTTGTTTTTGAAAACAGAATTAAACATAAAGCACATTTTTTTTCTGTTACACACGCCTCTCCCCACTGTGTGACAGGATTGGGGTGGGTGGGAGCACACACTTTTTCCTGGTCTCTGTGTCTTTCACCCTCTCTCAAATTGCCTTAACAAGGGAGCATCTGTACGTCCAAACAAACAGACAAGTGAGGAGATTAATGAACTGACCTTTCACCCTGGAAGTATTTATTCCAGGCTCCAGGGGAATGCATTTCTGTGCCAATGAAAGTCCCAAAACTGCCTCTGATAATTTGGTATTAAAGATAGCTCTGTCTAATGCCCCGAAGCGCTATGAGCATCGCCCTCCGCCTGACCCCAGGCTCTCCCCCCATTCAAATGGACTACCCCAGAACTTCACGGCGCTTCCCCTTCAACAATATTAGCTGTCGTGTATTAAGCACCTACTGTATCAGACTCCATGTTTAGCTACTTCAATCATCACCTTCGTCATCTTATTTCTTCAGCATTTACTATATGAACGCCAGTCTCCCATTCTCTCACTTAATGTTTTTTCTAGCCCTGTGAAGTATTTTTAAAAATAGACTCAACTGTTTACATATGCGTGAGTTATTTATGTCGGAAGATGAGGTGGGAGTTGGGCTTGTGAAAACCTTGATGAGAAGAAAGAAATGACTCTTGACTTTTTCTGCCTATTTCTTTGTCGTAGCGACATGGGGGTGGGGAGGAATAACACTAAAACGTGATACGAAGAGAAAGTCTTTCTTCCAAGTCTTTTGATGGCATTTTCAACTCATAAGGTAAGTGACATGAGCACAGGTACGCACACTGTAATTTCAGGAAAGCAAGTCCTCTCTTTCTCATCCGCTGCTCTTACAATATGACAGTGATTTGAAGGAAGAGGCCCAAAGAGAAACCAAGAGTGTAGCCGTACTCCAGAGTGGCAGGATGTGGAGTCAAATGACAAGTTTATGATGATGGCCACAGTCCAAAGCCGGACTCTCCCAGTGTGTGTGTGCTGCTCCTTACATCAAGAGGCAGAACTTGTTTTCTCTCCCCTTAAATCTAGATGGGCCTTGTGACTACTTTGATCAATAGAATGCAAAGTAACTTTCCAACATGACTTTCAAGGTCTGATTTCAAGAGATTGGCACTTACCTCTCTCTCCTTGAATGCTCCTTCTTGGAAAGAGCTACCATGTAGTAAGAAAGACCAAGCATCTGTGTGGAAATGCTGCCACAAATGAGAATCAGGAGCTTCTGCCAGTAGTCTCTGCTGGGATCCCAGTTGGCAGAGAGCATCAATTGCTAGCTATGTGAGTGTGGCCAATTTGAATCTTCCAGCCTTCCTCATATTGCAGTCAATCCCAAGAATAGTAAAACTACCAATGTAACCCTCCGAATGAGAAACAAGAAACTTTTGTTTCATTAAGGCACTGCGGTTTGGGATGGTTTGTTATATTCTATCAATAACCAGAACACCACTCTTTCTCGACACAAAATTGTTTCCTGCCAGCTCTGTGTTGGGAATGTCTTTGTTCTCCTTTGTAATTCTCTTCTCCCTTTGAATTCATGTCGTAGAAGCATCAGGGCTCATCTAAGACTCATTCCTGATTGGGAAGCCAGGCAGGTACCCTTTTCATCTTTACTTTGGACGATCTGTCAGGACATGGCTGGGTCTCAGGGAAAAAGAAACAAGTGATCCAGGGACCAGGTTTTCCACTCAGGAAAGGGCCTTTTCTCCCACTGGATTCAATTTTCTCTATCCCTGTCCAATCACAAAAGTGGTTCCATTTGGGGATCATAAGGAAGATCTCCAAGGGAGCTGCTTTTGTACATATACATGATCTGGAATGTCCAGCGTGACTTCTAGTGGCTTCCAGTGGCTTCTCAGGCTGTACTGGAAACCATTAGGAAGGGCTGTGATGTTCACCACGCCGCAGGCATGCCCCATACCTGTGCTCACTGCTTCAGGGTTCAGGAGCTATGCTGCATCACAAGGACCGCCACATATCATTGGATTCCTTGTCATTCCAACTTGATTATGCTATCATTGTATGAATTTGTAGATGCTAGATTGCATTGTAATGGTCTGGTGGATAGTCACCCTCCTCTATTTTTCTGGTTGATAAAATTTTAAAAGGACATCTGTTGTGCGGGGGATGACTTTTTCCTTAGGATGCAAAGTCACCAGAATGTGTGGTAGCAATTTTTCTTCGGTAATAACATCCCCTATCTTATCAGACCAGGCTTTGGCTGTGGAAGGGCTCTGTTAATTCAATTGTTGTTTAAGTTTGCTGTTGGTGGACTGGATGAATGAATCACTCCCTCTCACACCTCATTCTGGTTTCTCATGCATTTGTCTTCAACTCTGCAGAAGGAGTCTGGAGTCTACAAGCCTGGTCCAAGATGAATGAGAAATTCTGAAGCTATTTTACAAGGAAGAGTCTGTTTTCTTTAGTGGATAGAAGAAGATAGAGAGAGCTGTGTATCAAGACAGAATTGTTATCACCTGAATGGTGCATATTTATTGAGCGTCTTCCCTCTAAATAGAGCCTCAGCAATAATTCTCAACTGGTGATCATTTTGCCTTCTCCTCCTTCCTAGAGAACATTTGGAAATGTCTGGGACTTTTTTTTTTGGTGGGGCAGGTGCTGCTGGTGCCTTGCAGGTCAAGGCCACAGAACATTTGACCACACATAGGGCAGTCTTTCACAGCTAAGAATTATCTATCTCTAAATGCCAACAGTACTGAGTTCGAGAAACCCTGATCTGTGGATATAAAGACACATTAAGCATGGTTTTTACTTCATGAAGGGAAGCAGGACAAGGGACATGTGACACGCACCAGCAAGGGGCCAGCCAAGCCTGTCTCATCACCACACATAGTGTCACAGGGCCAAGCACGTTCTGAACAGGGAAGGGAACTCCCCATGGGACATGAGGACCCCTGGCAAGGACACAGCTAGAGATGAAGAGAGAGCCCTGGTGATCCTCAGGGCTGCATGCTGGGTCCTCCCCTCCCTACCCTGGATCTTCTCCCAAGGCAGAGATCTCTCCCAGCGCCATGGACTTTCAATAACCCCCAAAACTGATTACTTTCAAGTTTCTATCTTAATCCTGGTCATTTCCTCTGGCATTCAGATTCACATAACCAAATGGTTGATTTTTATATTTCCATGTGGATGTCTCTTAGATGTCTCTAGCTTAATGTGTTCAAAATGGAGCATAAGATTTTCTCTTCCAAACTTTGTTTCCTTCCCCAGCATTCCATCTTCCAGCTAATATGCACCATCTTGACACTGTATTGGATGCAGACAGGATTCTTCTCAGTTTCTAAATATCTAGGTCCAATCTGTTATCACATCTAGGAATGCTATCTTTGGATAGATATCAAAACCTCGTTCTTTCTCCCATCTCTGTGGTCACTCCTCTAGGTCAGGCTACCATGACATGTAGGTACCAAAGATTAACGGGACAACAGCTACCTAAATAGTTTACTTCCATCCTTTATCCCTTGCTCTGCCCCTATACAGTCTGCATATGTCATGAAACATCAATCAGACCCTGCCATTTTCTCATAGTAAATGGGTCAGGCAGAAGCTGGGAACTTCTTCCAGGTCGCCCATGTGGATGGCAGGGACCTATCTTCTGATGTCTTTCCAGGTGTGTTAGCAGGGAGTTAGATTGGAACTGGTGCATCTGGGACTCCAACAGGTGCTCTGATATGGATTGTCTGTGTCACAAGGAGTAGAGCAAGGACCCGAATGCAGGAACTCTAACGCGGGATGTGGGCATCCCAAGTGACATCTTAAACTCTGTGCCAAATGATTGCCTTTCAGTCAACCTTTGGAAGATCATCTGATGCCCGTACACAGTGATCAACAGGCTGTATCTGGCTTTCAAATCCGCATGTGCGTCAGCCGGTTAGCCCATTATGCTTGGTGTTGCTATGAGAAGATAAGAGACACAGAGACACAGAATCAAAGAATGGAGGGATATGCCCACCAGGCAAGGCCTGCCCAGGATTGCCAGCAAACACCAGAAGCTATAAAAGCCAAGGCAGGAATCTTACCTATAGCTTTCAGGGTCCTGCTGATACCTGGGTGCAACCGATGTCTGTTATTTTAAGTCACCCTGTCTGTGGCATTTGGTGAGGGCACTGAGTAAACAATGCAGACTCACAACTCTGACCTTCTCACTCACTCCCTTCCAGACACATCGATCGTCTTGTTCCTTCTCACTCAGATGTCAGCTTAAATCTTGCCTTATCAGAGAGACGTTCTCTGCTAGCCAAACCTGCTGTTGTCATCACGTCCTGTCTGCACCGTACCACTTTGCACTTGTTTTGATTATCTGTTTTGAACATGACGCTGTGTGAAACTTTTCTTGTTTGTTTGTTGTCAGTGTTCACCTCCAGTACATAAACTCTAAATCCAAAAACCTGTTCTCTCTTGTTAACTGCTGTTCCTTTCCCATCTACAGTAGTACCTAAACTTACTAGATACTCCATGATTTTTTGGGTAAATATTTCATTTTTTAATATATTTATTTGAGATAAAGAGACAGAGAGCCTGCTCCCATTCCCCAGTTTGCTCCCCAAATGGCCAGGGTGGTCCATGCTATAGCTGGCAGATGAGTACGCAATCCAGTTCTCCCACTAGGGTGATAGGGACCAAACTACTTGAGCCATTAGCACTGCCTCTTAAGGTTAATTAGCATTGACAGGAAGTTGGAATCAGGGACCACTGCCAGAGATCCAATCCAGGGACTCCAGTGTGGGATGCAGCATCCCCACTGAGGTCTTAACCATTAGACTAAATGCCATCCCCATGAAGATTTTTGTTTGTTTGTTTGTTTTTTATGAATGGGCCATTTAAAAAAATGCAAAAAGGTCTCTGCCAGTGTGAAGCTGATTGGAGTGACTGGATGTCAGAAGACAGATCATGCGTAATTCTGTTGGATCTTTGACATGGAGAGGAGAAGGGTAAGGAGCAGGAGCTCTCCAAAGAAGAGCGCCCTCCTGTGGGTGAGAGGCCTCTCGGCCCATGTGTCATGCATTAGGGGGACATGGTTGGTTGTGTCCCATCAAGCCCACCCTTGTTCTTCTACAAATATTTATGCTGTGAGCTCCCCAGCTCCCAAGCCCAACAGGAGCCCTGGAGAGCAGCACACTAGCACAGGGTCTAATGGAGACATTGCAGTGCTATTAGCACAGATGGTTGTCATATGTATGCAAATGAGAAACAAATTGAATTTGGTGTCCCCTCTCACCAGCTGTCCTATCAAGGAAGGCTCCCAGAGCAGCAAAAGAACCGCTGCTACACCACTAATCTGTCACCACAGATTAATTACAACGAGCGCATTAATCACCATTTGTTTCTAGTACAAAGGAAAATATCTTGTTTTTCAAGTACGTCCTGTTAAAAGAAGGTGTCCAGCCTTGTAGAAACAAGGCCCAACAAGGGCACGAGGCTTCATTAGCCAAGAACAAGCGGCAAATGAAGGATGAAAAGCCCTAGGCTGCAAGCCACCTTCAGAACTGTCTTCCAGAGAGGAGTCACGAAAAGGCGAGGCAACAAACGACAGCGGCTTTCCAGCTCTCACGGGACCTGCGTGCCAGTAGTTCCCCAGAGGTCCAAAAAGTTCATTTTGCCTAGTGGATCCCCAAAAAATCAGGAGGTGACTGAAACAGATATCTGAGATGGATTATTATGATTGCTATTTGATAGGAAGCCCAAATGAATAGGACACTAGCTAAAGATTCAAGGGATCAGATTTCAGTTCTGGGTGTGTAACTA